ATTTTGTGTTTTTGTATATTGTATTAAATTCTTTACTTTGAAATAAAAAGTCAATTTTATTTTTTATTCCGTGTCTTTATTGTTTCATTATAATACAACCAATCTTAAGTACTCTTTGACGCAAGTCAAAAGTAAATAAAAATTAAATAATATAAAGAGTAAATAATGATTAAATTTTTTATTGGCTGATTTTCATAGGGATAGATTACCATGTGAAAAACTGGGGCTAGAAGTGAAAGAAGAAAAACGGAATCCAAACCAAATGGCTCTGGTAATGAATCACCGATAAGTGCAAATTTGTTGGAAAATCAGATCTATTTATTCAAAAAAAAAAGAAAAAAAATTACTCCAACTATAGGGAACCATTTACTTATTCAGCAATATCTCCACTTTAAACAATGGTTCACTATATACAATTTCTTAAAAAAGAAATTTTTTTTTTTTTATCATGTTGCTGAAAAAAACGATTGGACTAATTTGCTTTTAAAATATTGACTAAATGCAGTAGAGTTTCCCTACAATGAAGTCTCTCATAAATGATAAATGACTTTTTTCCGGTAACAAAATTTTTATTGAAATGTTAAATAACATTCAAAATATTTATCCTGCCTAGAAGTGGTTGTCATTTTACAACCCTGTTTTTCAGACATTTCTCTTTCGATTTTCATCATAATTTTTTTCGTTTTTTTTGTTTTTTTTTGTAATTTTCTAGGAACTATTCCACCGATATCGCTCACATTTTGTATTTTGCCATGTAAAATTACATTCTGCAAAACTAAAATTGTATATCTTACAATTCAAAAATTTTTCTACCATTCTTAATTAAAATAATAATAAATATTTATTAAAAGTTAGTTTTTGCACGGAATTATCTTTGGATAAACAAATTTTATAATTGAGTGTAATTTTTTTTTTAATTCGCCTAAATTCTCGAGATATAGCGAAATACTCGAAAAGTATAATTAACATTAAGGGGTTCAAACTTTGGAGCTCTTTCCTGACCAAACTATTAGGACCATATTTCCTAGATTGCAACTAAGCTACCCCCAATATTTTGGGGGTCAAAAATCTAAATCCGTCGAAAAAGGTATGTTTATTCAGAGAAAGTACGTTTTTGTGCCTGTATTCGTAACTTAAAATATTGTCTGCACTTATTAATTAGCATATTTGAGATCAACCCCTTGAGCCATAAGGATCGACTCCTTGAACACGTAAATCTGATCATTAGGGAATAAAAATTATTCAAAGTGGTCCGGCTTTTTTTTTTGTTTGTTTACTGTACCTTTTATATTAAAGAAATTCTCTAAATTTAATATAAATTATGTAAATTAATTTGCCTTCTATATTTTTCGAAGGTAACAGAGCTGAATTATGCAAAATTTTATAAGACATTTTTCATTAAAGATATAAAATATTTTATTTATAACTTATTATTTGTTTATTAAATAATATTTTTGTTATAAGTTACTGAAAACTGTGTTAATTGAATTTTAAAAATTCTATTTTTTGAACAGGTATAAAAGAATGAAATGAAAATGTTACTTATTTTTTGTTATTGTTGTGATGATATCAATAGAATTTTTTTTATCTAATAGTATTTTTTTAAACTACTAATAGTATTTTTTTAACGATGTTGATTAGTAAAATCAATATGCAGTAGTCCCTCATAATAAAAAAATTTGCTCCTCTTTTTGTTCTATCACCTTTGCATAACCAAATCAAAATTTTTGATGGTTTTCCATTGATTGACCAACATTATCTTCATAGCAACCATCATTGATTCTATCATGAACCGTTATACTTTTTGATGCTAGCTAATATAAGTAACCATCACCTCAATGTAGGAATTCAGACTGATTTATGATGGTCCGCAACTTGTTTTGATGGTTTGTTCATGCTGAGCGATCACAAATTTCCTTTATAGTATCTTAGAAATCAAATGTTGGAACGGTCATGGACAACCATCATCTTAATGTAGGAATTTGGACTGATTTATGAAGGTTCAACATTAAAAAAAAGCCTAATTGTTTTGATGGAATATTCCTGACAACTCACGAGAATTCGCATTAAACCATCATGGATTGTTGGTCCATGAGAGTCAATCTTCTCTTGATGGTAAACCATCATAGTATTAAAGTAGCATTTTCCATCATGGAATGATGGAAGTTTGTTGTTATATCAAAGACCATGAACACGTAATGGAAAGTGTTGGAGAATGGTGACCAGAAAATGATGTTGAACCATCATGAATCACACTGAAATCTACATAATCCATCATAATTTTTTGATGTAACCATCAAGAGTTATGACTTGGGTACACAATCTCCAACTGACCAGTAATGAACCTGAACAATTTAAATCTAGTTGAGTTAAACGGGAAAAGTTAACTGAATAAAAAAGTGTGCAAAACCTCAATTGGCATCCTTAGGCAGAATATATATATATACAGTGGTGACCAAAAGTGCGGACATTTTTTGAAAGTTTCATGTTTTTCAACTTTGTGTGTTTGTAGAATATATTAATTTTCACTAAAATACAAACGTTTATGTATCAAATTAAAGGTAATTAACATGAAACTTTCAAAAAATGTCAACACTTTGGGCCACCACTGTATATATATATATATATATACACACACCAGGGTTGGGGTTTTGGACGTCCTAAACTAGTTTTTTGGACAGGACACGTGGGTTTTCTGTCTTACAGTGACCAAAACTTTGAACATTGGTAAAAGGTAAAAATTCTATATGTGTAACCATTGTACACATTATAATTACATATATTGATAAATATTTGATACTTTTTATGCAATTTGCTTCAACTTGCTAAAGAAAAATCTCGCAGTGGACTGATGGTTAAGACACGGTACCTACTGGAACACCGAAGTCAAGCATCACTGACTGTGGTCAGTGTGCGGGTGGGTGACAACTTGGATCAGTCTACGAAAGGACCAAAGGTGTGCGGTATTGGTGCTCGTAAGACCGTTCTATCGTAAAGTGCTCGACTTCGAGCGCAGGTCCTCTGGCTACCGTAGCGGGGATACCATCCCCTCTGCAGCAGAGGATCAAAATTGTGATGGCCATGTCTTTGGATAATCCTCAGGCATGTTTCCCAGACCGTCGCCAATAGTAGTCGCATGCCCTAGCGCGACGTAAATAAACTACAACAACATTTTAAAAGAAAACAATACAATATTAGAGGAAAAGATTTAGAACTTTTTATGCTCCACAATTTATTGAACAACAAAAGTGAAAACATTATCCTTTAAATATGAATAAATATGCTTTTAATACTGATAAATTATGTTATTGCATAAGGATAAATAATGCAATATTAAAAATGATAATAAACTTTTTTATAAAACAAAAACGTTTCTTCGTTTTGTTTCTTGTTCAAAAATCAACCTTTTTTTTTCACAATATTTTTTTTAAAATTGTGACATAATTTGAATAAAAGGGGTTTTGGACAGGACGGTTTAAACCGTGGATTAATCCATTCTGTCCTAAACCTTGCCAACTGTGATACACATGCATAAACTTTTTTTATTTAAAAAAAAATTCAAGGTTGAGTTTTCTACCCTTTCTCTTTGTTATCTCAAGCTGGTTGCTTAGATTTATTAAATGGTAAATCTTGCCCTTTAGAAAAGAAAGAACTTAAAATTTCAAGATAAGTTTTCCTCTAAAATTACATTGGTCTTTTTATTCCTGGTGGCTAACCATCCTTTCAGCTATACAAAAACTTAGTGGATTTTAAAATATATATATGGGTCATTCTCACGAAAACAGTCATTTTCATGTCCCCAGTATATTTTATGTTTGTTTTACAGCTTACGAAGAAAAACAATTCAGGGAAAGTGTCCTTCAGAATGCAAGCTAACAAAAGAATAAAAATAAAATTATCAATTTTTATTTTTTATTTATTTTAGGTAATTAAAATATACCAATATGTCATTCCCTCACTTGTCCCCACTGCTGATTTAAAAAAAGAAAAAAATTGTTTCTGAAATAAAATTTTTTTTTTTACAAATTCGTGTTTTTCATTTCAGAATACTGAAATATAGAATTCAGAAAATCAATTTTAAATTTAATTTCTGATAAAAATATTAACACAGCACTATTTTAAACTTTGTCCCCAGTGTTTCGC